CCATGTACTTTTCAATTTTTTCCCTAAGAGCATAGTACGTACTGTTGGTGAGCAGGTGATTCTGCTGGAGAGGACTGAGGGGGTGCGCGCTTCCAAGGCTCGACTGCCCTGACAGTGTGGGATGGCCAATGCTGTGCTGTGATCCTGTTGTAATGGGAGACTGGAGCTTGTCTTTATCCCAGGAGGATTCACTCCCACCTGCAAAACAGTGCACACAGAAACTATAAATGGCGCATGCTTTTCTTTAAATGACATTTTGCTTGGCTAGCAACAAGGTAATACTATTTACCATAGCTAAGCACCTAGCACAAACACAGCACCTCAAACACACAACTGAATTTTGCTTTTAACAAATCAATAAACATGCACTGGGCAAAAACCAGGAGTAGAACCTTTCACCATCGCCTGCCTTTGTGGCACCAGTTTCTGGAAACAGGAAAAGCTAAATGTTTAAGGATAAAATCACCCAATTAAACATCAGTCACAACTAAGTAAATAAGGCAGAAAGAGAACATCTGAGACATTGAACCACAATCTCCCGCTATCCCAGGGAATCAGGCCACCCAGTCCCTGCCAGAGGCTAATCCGTGTCCGTCCTTGAGCTCGCCAAGTCCCTCACCGCTCCTGCTTCTCTTACTGGAGAGTCGTTCAGCTGTCCAGTCCCCCCAGTGCTCATTCTAGCTTAAATCCATCTCTGAGCGGGCTACCACAATTCATCCTGCTGCTATGTTACCTTTGAGCTTAAATAGCTTTTCCCCCACTGCTGGGCTGGATCCTGGCAATGTTCTAGGTGAAACGCTTCACTTTGCCAGGTTAAACCACCCAGGATTAGGTCGGGCTTGGAAACCACCAGTATTCAGGAATTTAAAGAGTCCAGGTTATTTGTTAGGCACATTAATTACTGCCTACAACAAAAACACGGTACAGCAAACTAAGCACTTGTATTTGGCCCAGAATATCTGGTCTTCTGAAGAGAGGCTGTTCTGCACCCATTTTATAGGCTGTAGTGTTCTTCACTATTACACTTACAGACTTGAACGACAAGTTCCTTTTAAACAGCAGTTTAAGCACTTGTGTTTGGCCCAGAATATCTGGTCTTCTGGTTGTTCTGCACCCATTTTATAGGCTGTAGTGTTCTTCACTATTACACTTACAGACTTGAACGACAAGTTCCTTTTAAACAGCAGTTTAGACCATGTTAGTGAAATCTGAAATACATCTGGGCCACAAAACAAAACACCTTAAAAAAGTTACATTGAGCATCTCTAGAGTAAAAGGTACTGTAAGTACCCTCCTTTCTCAGCGACACCTTGCATTTTCAATTAGATGATAGATTGTTATGAAAATGTGTAACTGCAGTATTGACTTTGTTTTGAATTTATGAACGAGAATTTCAATTAGAATAAGTAAATAGATTACTGGGATGTAGCAGCTAGAGGCAGCAAGCAAAACACAATTGAATATGAAAGTAACAGAAAAATTCCATTCTTTATGACAACACTTAGCTAATAAACGTGATTAATACAGCTCAATGAAAAAGTTTGAAAGATCAATGATTGAGAAAAAAGGAAATCACTCAATCATTTTAGCACTATGTCCAAGTATGAATTACCTTCCTATAAAAGATTTGTAATTTGTAAAATGATGAGTAATACATCGAGAAAGGAAGATACACTAAATTATGCCACATGATATAATAGAACATGGCACAGTGCAGTAATTAGAAGAGCTACTACAGTTAAGGCTGTGTCAGCAGCTTTGTTATCTAATATACTGTATATCTGCTCTTCCAAATAACATTTGACTGATACTTAGTATACGAGTTGTTCATTTGGACTCGCGAAACTTTTATTCCTGCAAATTCCACTTGTAAATCTGCTCCAGCATTCAGTGCCAGCAACACAAGAATAAATTGCAATACACTTATCTCTGTAGACCATTCCTGTATTCTTATGTTCCCTATCACTTCTCCTTAGAGGAAGAAAAAAGAAAAAATACTGCCGAGCTTATGGTGTATAATAAAAGGGCATGTGAAGTGAAAACGTATCCTGCAGTGTGCAGTACACCACCCAGATAACAGCTCCATCCCTTCATCTGGACTGCGGATCCTGTGTAGGAGCAAGTCTCTCAAAAATAAAATAGTAATTAGAACTTCTTACCTACAACGGGTCAATTGTGAAGTGTTTTATAAGGGCAGTATGATTATCTCCAACTTACAAGTGGGAAAGTTGAGGTGCAGAATTATGAAAGAACTTCCTCCATGTTACCTGGTAGACTAACGATGAAAGTGGAAGAGAAGTCAGGCCTCACCAGTCCCACTGCTGTGCTCCACACCACTGTCAGTTCATCCTACCCACAGTCCCTTTGCACAGATAAAATATTTTAAAAGACATCTCACATCCTTCCCCACAGTATCTATTCCCATAAGGTTAGAAAAAATTACATATCAATTAATAGCAAGTCAGAACTAGATTCACATTATAAACCAAATTTGTAAAATGGAAACCTGTGGTAATACACTGAGTCCTTTTACTGTCATGCAACTTTAAAAAAAAAAAAGTATTCTTTTGAGCATACCCATTTTCTTATGTAGTAACACAGTTGTCAGCATGCTATATCCACAAAAATGTATTTGACATACATACATATCAATGCATATTTTCAAATTCTTTGTTACTCTAACAATTAGAAATCAATACATCTATAAAAAGTTAATCCTTCTTAATATTTCAAATTTAGATCTAGACACAATTTCTCTGAGAATTTCTGTTGATTGTCGTTTTTTGTCCAAATAGGTGCCATCAATACGGCAAAGATGTCATGGTTTGATTCTAAATCCTGTCTTTGGTATGATGAGCTCACAGGTGAAACTAAAACGGAAACTTTATGATATGAACCACACAATACCCCACATAAATAAATACATTTATGAGTAGAAATTTTTTTCTCTCATTATATTCAAGAGGTTTGGTCTTTGAAGAAATACATATTGGGAAAAAACAATTTCTTTGTCCACACTAATCTACTGAAGGCTCCCATTCCCCTTAATATAGCAGATAAGGAGTCTAAAATTAAACAATGATCCATGCTACTGTGTATAGAGAGATAGACTTGAGGTAATTTCTTTTAGGTACATATGAAATAAAAATAGATGAAAGAAGAAAGAAAACAAAGAAACAACCCTGTAAGGAAAATGAGACAAGAAAAAACAGCAATGGAACTCACACTGGCTCTTGTATATGAAGGGCAATACAGGTTTGTATTTATTTTAAATGAGAAATATTATTTCATTTTAAAATATTAGTAACTTGATAAGTGCCATAGGAATGTTATTAGAGCACTCAGAAGTCTGCTGATTTGTCAAAATGCCAATACACCATTTATACACTTTACCTAAAGCTTTATGTTTAACACTATTACCCACTGCCCACATGACCTTCTCTCCAACAGATAAAACTAAAGGACAAAAAGGTAACTTTTCCTTATCTTGTTTGCATTCTAGTCGATCTTGTCCCACAACAGATTGTGCTCAGCGTTAAAAAAGGGCAAGAGAGACAAGAGCCTCCATCTTCCAGAGCTCCTGACACCTGGCAGAAGCAAGCACAGAGGCTGTGGTTTCCTCACCATAGCCACACCAAAGAAAAAGGCAAAGAGATTCCCTGGTCAGCCATCCTAAAAGATGGCAGAATGCACCGGCTGCCCAGCAGAAGCAGCTAAAAAAAGGTCTGACCTGCTTCAACCATGCAGCTCAGGCCACGCAGAAAGCGTGGTGTACAGTTCTGCTGTCAGCTTTGCAGCTGAACACACAATGTGGATGGAAAAAAGGCAATTGTCTGCGTTGTACCCAGCCGCCTACACCGAACATAGGGTGTGCTTCAAAGGGCAGAGATAAAACACGGACACGACATGGATTTGGTAAGAGAAAGAGTTATTTACAATATACTTAATAATTAAAGTCTGGTATTTACCAGTCTTAACAGGTTATTGGAGAGAACTTTTTTATCAGTGCACGAAGTACACCTACATTAGCAAAGCTAATGAAACAAACTCCCGTCCATTGACTTCTCCATTAAAAAAAATGCGGTGAGAGGTAAGCATTCCCGTAATGCCCAAATTCCATACATCTCTGTGCCCAAGTCCCTGTGAACAGTGAATTCAGATGCACAGGGAGTTAAATCACAGGTAACACACACAAACAGGGGAAATCAGGCTCAGCAAGACACACATGTGCTGCTCATGATATACACCACACTTGCAGATCCACTGCAAGGTTATTCACCATCACGTACATGGCTGTAAGCAACGTGCTTCTGTTTAAGTTTCATTTTGTTTAGATGAAAGAAGTGCAAGTGTTAAGCTCAGCTTTGTTTTTCAGAAAATGCTGCTTCTCACCCATCTTTGATTTAGCAATTTTGCTACATGCTTTCGAGTAACAAAGTGCATAATAAACAGTGCATTTGTGTTCTTCAAAACAAAATCCAAAAAACTTCTTTTGGTGAAGATACATTTGTGAAGATTAAATTAATGTCTTGGTTTTAGGTACTGAAAGATCTCCGGAAAGTAATCAAAGTTCAATTTGGTGACAGTTTCTTTTCATTTGGTTTCAAATTCATTTTAGCAGCCTTAAAACTGTCTGGTCCAGCTAAATGAAACCCACTCTGTCAGCGGTACCTTTGAACTGAACAACCACACTGTTTCAATCTATGTCTGTCATTTTATTTCTGGTTGGGATATATATCTGAAAAATTGAACTCAAATTGGTAAAAGTAATCTCAAATTCTTAAAAGCAATACCATCCTCACTGTCCAATTTGATTCTAAAATTATTCTGAAACACATTTTTCATGCTGTTGGGCATATTAAACATAACACCCGCTGCAAAGAAAAAAGTATTCAGTGCATTGGTATTTCAGCACTGCTAATTTCTAAGTATTTATCACCTCTAACGTCTTTTTTACGTGTTTGGCACAAATAAGTCCTCTGAATTTTTTGGGTTGGTACACCCAAACCAACACGGGCCTATTGGCCAGCATTCCTCGCTCCAGCGTTTTCAGGTGACCCAGACCATTTGCTTTTCCCAATACCCTAATCTTACCTTGATACTGGGAAAAACAGACACTTTTTTGGCCTACACAGAATATCTTTGCTGAAAACTCTTCAGCCTACAACTTCCTGTCAACTTTGCTCATGGTATCAGCA